CAGAATCTACCAAAGAAACGCACTAGCATACCAGATTCAAGAGGCCACCAGCTGGGAGGGAGCAGGACTCCATCGACCTGCCAACAAACCCCAAAGGACAAAGCAGAGAAGAATCAAGGAAACCAAGCTTTATACTTCAACCAAGATTCCAGATCTGAGATCTAGATCGGCTTTTTGGAATTCATCTAATCACAACAAAGCACAAAATAACAGAGACAAAAGAGAAAACAAAAGAAAATCAAGCCAAAAAGCCTTCCCCACACAGATCTATACTGAGACAAGCTCATGTCACTGATGTATAGCATATTTGCAATGTTTTAACCCTCTTATCTTGTTTGTTTTTGTTCATTTAGGACTTCATTTAGACTTGTTTAGGATGCATTTGCATTGCATATGTCTTTATCAGGTATGGAAGATGCAAAATGACTATTTTGGAGCTTTTGGAAGTGATTAAAGGACAAGACTAACTGATCTTCGAGTGTGAGTCCAGATGAAGTGCCCCAGCGGCATGTGGATCTCGTAGCGGCCTAGAAATGATGTCGAGACGCCGCTGCACCAAACCTCATGTGAGCTGAGTACCCCAGCGGCTAGTGGGAGCGGTTTCTGGCAGCGGCCAAAGTGCATTTTCGAGCAATTAAATTAGCCAAGTCCATGTTTCAAATCGGCAAAGTGCAGCGGCCAAGTGACACCAAAAATGTAGAAATGGGAGCTAAGTGTGCCAGCGGCTAACGAGAGCGGTTTGGCGCTGAGCGAAAGGCCGCTGGGCCTCTGTAGCAGCTTATTGCAGCGGCCTCCCTAGGCCGCTGTGTGCGTTGAAAAAGTCAAGATTCCGAGTTTGACCAGACTTTTTACCTCTTTTGTTTGGGCCAGCTCAGGTTTGTTGGGTTGACACAGTTCGATTTTAGTTTACTATAAATACCCTTAAACCTTATTTTGGGATCTTATCTTGTATTCTCTCTAAACCTAAGAACTTATTTGGTGAATGATCATAACTTTATCTTCTTTTCATCTTATTCTCTTGAGTTTGTTGAGTAATCTTGATCTTTAATCATGTTTAACCAACAATCAATCATTGTTGTTAGGTTAATCATGTGTATTAGTGAGTAGATCCATTTTAGATTCATGGGATAGGTTGGTAAAGGTGATCAAGTGTAGATCTAAGGTGTTAGGTGTTAGATCCTTGTGTTTCCTTGTTAGTTGAGTGAATTTAATGCTTGATTAATGTTGGCCTCTTTAATCATGATCATTAGACTTTAACTACCCACAAGGTGTTTGTTTAAATGTATGAACCAACTCATCTAGCTTTAATACTACCTAGCCAATGATCATTTGTATCTAGGAAGTTTTAGATTGTTATTAAACTTAATCCTAATGATTGCTTGAATTAATTAAGCACATGATCATTTGTGTTTGATTAATGATAGCAAATGAGTATTTCTCTAGACCTAGAACTTGCTTAACTTTGTTGTTTAGACTTAAGGAAACACTTTGATTGAAAGCTTGCAATTTTTAGATTGAAACTTGATCACCTAAACCAAGTACCTATTCCCATGAGTCTAGTCATCACTAATTGAGAGAAAGTTTGTTACTTTTAAATTGTTCTTAAAACATTCCACACTCTCGAAACTGATTGCATTTAGATTAAGCATAGATTGTAATCTATTTGTTTCAAAACACTTAGAACTTGGATTGACATCTAAAATATTACTTTGATTTACATAAGGCTTAAAACCCCTTATCAGCAGTCACCGGAGGAGAGGGAACACTAAGGTACACTTTTTCTCTCGCTGCTCTCGCTTTTTTTTTTTCACTTTAAACTGATTCTCACCTTATTATGTCAATACTTTTACATGATTTCTTTTACAGTTAATTTTAACTTTTTTAAATGTATTGTGTATTGTGGACAGGTGGGGAACAACACTCTCAAACAAATAAGAAAGTCTCTTTGCAGAGAATCGCTTATTCTCTTCTCTCTTCCTTTTCACTTTTTCTTTCTTCATTTTGAGTGTTTTTATATTTTTTTTATTTTTTGAAAAACGACACAAAAGACTCTGCTGCGGATGCTTTAGCACTTTTCTTTAGTATTTTACTTTATGTAAAACATCAAAAGTAAAGATTCTTAAAACAGTTAAAAAGGTGTAGAAACATGAAACAAGTTTACAGACATGTCTTGTTTAGGCTCTTGTTTCCCCGGCCATGAAAAAAATCGGTTAACTTCTAAGTTCAAGTCTAACTGTGATGAAATAGACATTGAACCAAACAACTTATCAAGTCACTGGGTCATTAGATGGACCGTGGATAAACCAAGGCTAATAAATTATTTTTTTGCTACACAACAATATATTAGTTATTGAAAAATATAATAATATTTTATTTTTAAAACAAGGAGTATTTAAACTTAATTTCTTTATTTTTATTTTTATTTTTATTTAATACACAAAATATCAAAAATAATTTAATCTATTTAACAATTTTTGTAATAAGTTAGGAGTTACGGCATCTAGTGAAAATATCTTTAAATTTAAAATTCATAAGTATTTAAATGTGTAATGTGAATAATTGAATTAAACTTCAAAACCAAAATAAACCAAAAATAAACATCAAATTGTAGTAGAAGTTGATAACAAAAAAAAACTAATACCAAATCAAATCAACTAATTTTGATTCTCTTTATCTTTGTTCACTTCATTTTCTTCAGGTGACATAGTAAAATATTCAACAAAATCTAAAAAAAATAGTTTAGTTGATATTATATACGATATTATATATGATTTCAAAAAGTTCAATGTTAACTAGAATACAAAATAGATTCTAATAAGATAATTACAAAAATCTAAGAAAAAAAAAGTGAAAAATAAGTAAAAATAAGTAACAAAAAACATAATTTTGCTATTTTTTAAGCTTTTAACTAATATTTTTTTCTTAAAGTCCAAACCGGGTTATATAGATCACTAGGTTTACTTGTGGATCATCAAATTTCAAAACACTGATCTGTAGAAGAAGATGAAAAAAATGAGAGAAATGAAGAGCGATTGTGAAATAGATAAATCCTTGTTGGAATACTGAGTGTAGCTGTTGAAAAGCTTGAAGCTTATATATTACACATGTTGGTTTGTGTCAAATATTACAACAAACAGAGAACTTGAAAACGATCGTAGACTATGAGATGACAATTCATATTTTTCCCTCTACATTTATACGAATACAAACATGCTCTTAAAACGCGAAACCCAATCGAAAAAATAATGTTTTTAAGCTGAGTTCTCAACAACCAAAATCTATAGATTTGGCTGAGAATTGATAAAGTTGATTTATTTAGTTCTTGAGAGAGTTTGACAACTGATTTTCTAGAGGAAGACGAAAAGTGAGGGAAAGTTGCCTTTTTTTTCTTTTTCTTTTTTTTTCTTTTTTTTTTTTTTTTATTATTACTGGATTCAGCGCCAAGTAACGGAGCGAGATGACGAAGTCGCAACACCCGGTATGTACAGAGGACGTCAAAACCCTTTACACTAACCCCGCTCTGAACCTTTTAGTTCTCTTTAGGTCTCCAAGGTGAGAGTCATGGAGCGGGTTACTTGGGTCCCTGCTTCACCTCGCTCTATGGTCCGCTCAATGTACAGCGGCTGTTACAGGCCGTTTCGGTCTCCCTACTCCAACACATAAAAAAACACATTGCTACTCGATGATGTGGTGTCTTGTCTCCAGCGGTTTAGAGACCCCAGAACATGGGACTCTCACCGATCTATGCATGTGATGCAGCAACCAATTTAAGCCGCTCTGAACCACCGATCCAATACGTAACATGGATAATATAGTGAATAAGGCAATATTATGATTGAAAATAATGTTAAGATGGATTTTTGGCTCACTGATTGTATGTTTTGTAGTACTATTTAAAGATAAAAATATATTTGAAAAAAATATGTAAACAATTAGCAAAATATTAGGAAAATGCAATAAAAAGAACGAAATGATAACAATAAAAATAAGAAGAGACCGCCGAAGATGCATAATATTTTTTGGAGATGTTAATGTGATAATTACAAAAATAAAATAACTCCACAAGTATTTGTTATTACTAAATATTCATCAGTTATTTTACATCAAATTTTTGCAAACTTTACGACAGATTGTCAAACTATTGGAAGTGGAAGTTAAAAATTATATTTTTAATGTTTCTAATTATTATTAAACATTTATTATATTGTATACATAATATATATTTTCATACAATATTTATATCTGTGAATTCACGGGCAACCAACTAATTAAATATAATTGTCAAGTCATTTATACATAAGTATGTCAACAATTCTAACATGCAATGTCATTTTTTAGTGAAATTGATTCTAAAGATGAAATGTATCAAATCACTTCTCAAATAATTTCTAAAAAATGACTAATTTATGAGGTAATTGTTGACTTACGAACATAAACAGTAGACTTATATATGGGTAGACTGATTTCGGCACACTGATTTCTCGAAAATTTAGATGGTTTGTAGATAAAACATAGTTGAATTATTAAATTTACGGCAGACAGAACAACATCCTCTGTTTACTTTGTCATAGAACAAACTCCTTTGTGACGTTACTGCCAACTCTTACTTTAAATTTGCTATGTGGTGACATTTGTAGCTGTAAGATTTTACCTTCGCATTTTACTTTTGTAAACTATCAAAAGAAAGATTCTTAGATGTTAAAACACTTAAAGAGTTGTAGAAACATGAAATAAATCATAGACGTGTCTTGTTTAGACTCTTGTTTCCCCGACCATGTAAAGAATCGGTTAACTTCCAAGTTCAAGTCTAACTGTGATCCGATAAAGATGAAAAAGGAGAGAAAAGGAGAGTGATTGTGAAATAGATACTGAGTGTAGCCGCTGAAGCTTAAAGCTTTATATATATTACACATGTGGGTTGTGTCAAATACTACAACAAACAGAGAACTTGAAAACGGTAATAGAAGAAGTTTTTTTAAAGATGCATTTAGTTTTCTTCTTCATTTCTTGGCCAGCAATTTCTTTGGGAGCTTATCGAGTGGTGTAGATTTAAGCAAGAACAGCCTTGCAGCCCTCTCTTGTAATGTCCCTCCGCATTTCAGTCCACGAGACTGAAGTTCAGTCTTTAATCTCTCCATTCCCATTACCTGAAACCCAAAAAAAACATAGAGATAGATAAGGATAAAGGTTTTGTAGTGATTTTGATGCAACACATGACAACAATTAGACTTTCTGACATAATATTTTATGTTCAGGCACCATTTTCAATGAAATTTGCTTATGAGAAGAATGAGTCCATTACATACCTCCATATCTTTTGCCGAGTTGAAGTCATCAAAGTTAAGCGGCTCCGCAGGTAATGCTGCAGCAGCAACAGACTCTGTTTCTCCCGCAGCTCCTACTGTCTTTACTTCAGAATCATTGTCTTGTTTCTCAGCAGCTGCTTTGACACTTTTCTCTGCGTCGCCACTTGAATTCTATCTTTATTTCATATCCACATTTTTTCTATCCACACAATATTTTTTTTGCATAAATATTAAATATAAAATGTATAAATATATTTATCAATATGGATGCCAAAACGTAGAAAATTCAAAATTATGACTAAAAGTAGTAAAATTATTTGTTTTAAATATTTTTAAAAGAAAACATAAACAAAAAACATATAAAAATTGCAATAACCAATAATGATTTTTTAAAAATAATATTTACTAGGAAACACAAAAATTAAGTTAATTTGGTCTCCACAAAATAGAATAAACCGAGGACACTTTCCTCTTTGCTTTGGTTCATCCAGCTAAGGGTATGGTATATTTGTCATAACTTTGTATAAAGAAGAGAAAAGTGTTTCTCTAGCAATAAGTGTCTTTTTTTTTTTTTAACACCAAACACTCATATTAAAACTAGCATCACAAGAAAGTTATCATGTGGGATGAACAACATTACAAAGCACTGACTTAGCTAGTAAGTCAGCCTCAGAGTTTTGAGAACGAGAAATAAAGGAAAACGAATAACAATCAAACGAGGAGGATAGGATTTCGATGTCCCGGGCTAATCCGTAGAGTTCGACCGGTGGTGACTTCGAAAAGATTGCTCTAATGAGAAATTGACAGTCTGAGAAAATACAGACTTTGATGAAACCCAGTGAAAGGGCGTGAGAGAGAGACAGACTGACTGCTAAAGCTTCTCCAATTAGAGCTGAAGGAGTGTGGTCGAAACACTTTGATCCGTGTTGAGTAATCTGCAGACCCGTGTCTTGGAAGATCCAACCGCATCCAGTAGCACCATCAGAAGATCGCTAAGCTGCATCAGTAAACACTTTGACCCCTTCTCCGGCCGAGGTCTGGATAGGAGTAGAGAATAGTGATGAGCTTATACGCGGGGGTGAAGAAGGTTGGACCGAGTTCCACTCTTGTGCGCTTTTGATGGCATTGATCAGCACTTCTGCAGGTGAGAGTACTTGTTTCTCAAATATCAATTTATTTCTAGCTCTCCATAAACACCAACAAATCCAAGGGAACACCGACGAACTTACTCCAGTAGGCGGGAGACAGATAACTCTCAGTCCCGAGATTAAACCGTCACTTAAGGAATTAAATTGATCAGGCGCAAAATCAATGTGGAGGGGGGGCCTCAGCCCAAACCTGTTTTGCAAAGTAGCATGAAAGTATTAAATGTTCCGCTGTTTCTTGCTGACCACATCTTGAGCAGTTGACAGGTGATCCACAGCCTCGCTTTTCTAGATTTACTCCGAGTGGCAGGGCTCCTTGAAATAATTTCCACAAAAAAAATTTGATCTTTGGGAAACAGGGCGAAGCCCAGACCTTCTTTGTCCAGGATAATTCGAGTAACGGCGCATCACCATTTTCGAGAATTACCTTATTCTTGGATGTTGTAATATAACCTGATTTAGTAGAGTAAAGGCCATCTTTGCTTGGTATCCAGATAAACTTATCAGGAGCTCTCAGCCTGCTAGGTATAATACTCGTAATCTCCTTTGCTAATAGAGGGAAGAGGCTATTAACTTTCGTCAAATTCCACTCATTTGATCCTCTCGTCAGTAAATCTGCTACCATGAGATCCCATCATTTTCCTTAGGGGGTCCCGACGGAATTCCTATATCTCCTGACAAAATCCAGCGATCCTGCCAAATACGAGTTGAATTTCCATCCCCAATAACTTTTCCCAATTGAGTAACCAGTAAGTCACGCCCCAATAAAACTCCCCTCCACCCATGAGAAGAAGTTGATGATGGCAAGACTTCCAAAAAGCCTTTGTTCTGGCAGTATCTCCCGATGAGAATGCGTGAAAGCAGACACTCCGGGGCAGTGAGAATATGCCATGCTTGCTTGGCTAGAAGAGAAATGTTGAACAGCTGAATATCTCGTATGCCAAAACCTCCCATGAGTTTTGGTAATGTTAATTTATTCCAGGCTACCCAACAAATCTTTTTCTGGTCAGCAGAGTCCCACCAGAATCTGGTAAAAGCTGACTGAATCCTCTTACAAAAACTTAACGGTAGTTGAAAGCAGGAGCTCGCGTGTGTAGGAACTTCCGATAAAACGGATTTAAGCATTACTAGCTTTCCTGCAGGAGAGAGTAAACGAGTAGACCAAGAATTGGCTTTAACTCTGATTCGAACAACTATAGAAGTGAACATATCCTTTTTCCTTCGACCAAATGTTCGGGAAGTCCAAGATATTTACCAGTACCGCCTTCTTTGACTATCCCAAGGTAAGATTTGACACGAGCTCGTGTCTCCTGGGGCGTTTTAGTCGCAAAGGTGATGGATGATTTACTGGCATTTATCATTTGGCCCGATGCTTGTTCATATCTTCGGAGGATGGTCATCAAAGCCGAACAACTATCTGGATCGGTTTGGAGAAAAAACATGGTATTGTCTGCGAAAAGGAGGTAATTAACCCTAGGGCATCGCCGCGCTGCTCGAATCCCTGCGAGGTATCCACTCTTTTGAGCTTATAGACAAAGACCCGATAACACCTCGCTGCAAAGTATAAAAATATACGGGGAAAGGGGATCTCCTTGCCTTATCCCTCTTGTTGGTAGTACTTTGCCATACGCTGAATCGTTAAGCAAAAAGGAATAGGATACCGAGCTACAGCATTGAACAATAAGCTCTGTCCAGGTTGACGAGAACCCCATACGCAGCATGACCTTGCGAATAAATGACCACTCAAGCCGGTCATAAGCCTTATTCATATCCGTTTTAACCGTCATCGCACAGTTTTTGAAAGCACCAGATTGCTTTAAGAAGTGTAATAACTCATGTGTAATGAGTACATTATCAGTGATAGCTCTACCGGGAACAAAAGCCGATTGATTCTCTGATATCAGATCCTGCAGCACTGGTTTCAGTCTCAGTGAGAGGAGTTTCGAGATGATCTTATATGTAACGTTACAGAGCACAATTGGACGATACTCTGCCACCCGCTTAGCTGTTGTTGTTTTCGGTATCAGCCGGATATAAGTTTCATTAATACTCGGGGGTAGCGTTCCTGTTCTGAAAAATTCAGTGACGTCCTTAGCTATAGCCACAGAAACCGTCTCCCAATTTGCTTGAAAGAAGCAAGCCGAAAATCCATCCGGTCCTGATGCCTTATCGGGATGAATAGCAAATAAAGCCCTCTTAATCTCGGCAATCGAAGGAATTTCAAGGAGCTTGTCATTTATCTCACTAGTGACATAAGTCTTAATGGCACGATCTAATGTTGCATCAACATCAGATTCCTCGTCTTCTGAAATGCGTGTAGAGAAGATCTGTTGGAAATAATTTGCAATCTCCTGTGCTATAAGATTTTTCTCGTATAGTATGTTCCCTGAAGGATCTTCCAGGACAGATATTCTGTTTCGGGCTCCTCTGCCTTTTGTGACTGCATGAAAAAAAACCCGAATTTTTATCCCCTGCGATCAGCCACATTAGTCTACTTCTATGGCGCCAAAACTCTTCTTCTTCCCGATAAGCCGTTAGGAGCTCGCCATTTAAACTCGCTATAATAATGTCGCTACCCAAAGGATTTGACATGGTATCATTTAGCTCCCGCTGTATCCTTTCAATGTTGAGCTTGCTATTTTTTTACTGTTCTCGGTTCCAATCAGAAATAGCCTTTCGACAGAAAGACAGTCTCTGAGCAACCGAGGCCTCTGGGTGAGCTTGCCACATCTCTGAAATTATATGTTTAACTTCCAAATTATCTCGGAACCGTCTGTCAAATCTTGAAAGAGCTCTTTTCTTCTGTCTTTTTGAATCAAAGAAGGACATTAAAGGTCGATGATCAGATCCTTGGAATTCCAAGTAGTGACAACGGCCATTGGGAAACAATTCGGACCGGTTACTATTGCCTAAAGATCTGTCCAGTCTACAATAGACTAGGTGATTTCCATGCAACACGTGTTTAAAGTGTTAAAAAGGAAAATAAAGTGTTCTATTTGGTAACACATTCTAGAACAAACTCCTTTGTGACGTTACTGCCAACTCTTCCTTTAAATTTGCTATGTGGTGACATTTGTAGCTGTAAGACTTTTCCTTCGGATTTTACTTTTGTAAACTATCAAAAGAAAGATTCTTAAAAGTTAAAACACTTAAGATTTTTAGAAACATGCAATAAATCTAAAGACATGTCTTGTTTTAGGCTCTCGTTTCCCCGACCATGTAAAGAATCGGTTAAGTTCCAAGTTTTTAACCAAGTTAAAGTCTGACTGTGATCCGATAGATCAAAATTGTAGATGAAAAATGAGAGAAAAGGGGAGTGATTGTGAAATAGATAAACATTGTTGGATTACTGAGTGTAGCCGCTGAAGCTTAAAGCTTATATATATTACACATGTGGGTTGTGTCAAATACTACAACAAACAGAAAACTTGAAAACGGTAGTAGAAGTTTTTATAAAGATGCATTTAGTTTTCTTCTTCATTTCTTGGCCAGCAATTTCTTTGGGAGCTTATCGAGTGGTGTAGATTTAAGTAAGAACAGCCTCGCAGCCCTCTCTTGTAATGTCCCTCCGCATTTCAGTCCACGAGACTGAAGTTCAGTCTTTAATCTCTCCATCCCCATTACCTGAAACCAAAAAAAAACACAGAAATAGATAAGGATGAAGGTTTTGTAGTGATTTTGATGCAACACATGACGACAATTAGACTTTCTGACATAATATTTTATGTTCAGGCACCATTTTGAATTGAAATTTGCTTATGAGAAGAGTGAGTCCATTACATACCTCCATATCTTTTGCCGAGTTGAAGTCATCAAAGTTAAGCGGCCCCGCAGGTAATGCTGCAGCAGCAACAGACTCTGTTTCTCCCGCAGCTCCTACTGTCTTTACTTCAGAATCATTGTCTTGTTTCTCAGCAGCTGCTTTGACACTCTTCTCTGCGTCGCCACTTGAATTCTCCTCCTCCTTTTCAGTTTGAACAACAGCGACAGGAGAATCATCCATCTTTTCTTCACTAATCACTTGAACACCGGTGATCTCTCCCTTAGAGCTTTGGTGCACCACAATATCTTTCTCTTCCTCTGAACCGCTACTGCTGGATGCTTTACCTCCATCCATAACCGAGCCTGAGCTTTCACCAATACCCTTATCCAGAACAGCTTGGCTACTACCATTCTTTAAAACAACAGATTCCTCATCCTCCTCGTCGCTGCTATCATCACTGTCACTATCTCCAACAGCTCTCTTCCCCTTCCTGAAAAAAACAAAACAAACACCCCATCAACAACAAGCAACAAAGACATGAACAACCCAAAGTTAACAACACTACATCATCAGAACATATAGAAGATCACAGAATCACAAAAAAAATGGTTCAGAAAAAGAAGAGCTTTTGTAATCAATAAACTTAACAAACATGATACTTTCCATCTTTTCATTCAAGCATAGATAGATTGATGAATATATGAAGCACCCAAGTAACAATACTACATCAGAATGTATTCCAAGACTACTGATATCACAAAACTGACAAACAACATCACATATTCAGCAAAAAAAAGAAGAGCTTTTGCAATCACTTTAACTTAACAAGCATGATACTTTCCATCTTTTCATTCGAGCATAGATCTATTGATGAATATATGAAGCACCCAAGTAACACTACTACATCCTCAGTATGTATACAAGACTACTGATATCACAAAACTGACAAACAACATCTCAAGTTCAGGCAATCACTTTAACTTAGCTTGATACTTTTCTATCTTTCATTCAAGCATACATAGATTGATAAATATATAACAATACTAACACACAGATTCACAAAAACTCACAAGCAGCATCACATGTTCAGCAAAAAAAAGAATAACTTTTGCAATCACTAAACCTAACAATCAAATTAAGAGATGTCTTACCAAATCTTTAGCCTCTTAGACTTTTCAGACTCAGCATAAACCTTCCTCTTCCCATTCTTAAAAGACTCCTCCAACGCCAAATCAACCGCCACAATACACTTATCAGACTCCTCCTTATACTTCTTAACATACTTCTGCGTCGCTCCATTTCCAACACCTTCCTTAACTCTACTCGCCTGCTTCTTCAAAAACTCATGAGCCAACTTCTCAAGCCTCCTCTCCTCTTCACCTTCCTTCCACTCCTCAAGCCTCTTCTCCGCGTTCACATGCCTCAACCTCCTCCCACTCATATCCCTACACGCGTCGAAGTTGTTCGTCTTCTTCTGCCCCGCCTTCGTCGCCGCGCCACGGAGCAAGGATCCGAACCCTCCCTTGCCTCCGCGGAGGGAGAGGACGAGGTTTACGGTGGAATCGGATTGAGAGACGGTGGATCCGTCGGAGATCTGGTGTCCTCCGTGGATTAGACGCTGTAGATGAGTTGGGATCTGAGTGTGATCGAAGATCCGCTGCTTGATTTGGTCGCCATAGGCTGACGGAGAGGGGAACGTTAGGGTTAGGGATTTTCCGTTGAGGAGCTTGACGAAGAACTGTAACGGCTTAGGGTTTTGATCCGCCATGGATTACGATTATCGGAGCTTCGAAGAAGAAGAAATCGATTTAGGGAGAAATTAGGGATAACGAAGCCCTAAGTTCCTCTTTTTATACTTCTTGGGCTACAAGTTTTAAATGGGCTTTATATGTTGGCAGCTATTTAACTAGGTAAAGACTTCCTTATTGGGTTATATTGGGTTTATAAGTATCTTGCTAACTTCCTTATAATAATACTCCGTTCCATTTTATTTGTTGTTTTAGAAAAAAAAATTCATTCAAAATAAATATTATTTTATAATTTTAATATAGAATTTATTAATTTTATCTATTTTTATTAGTTAAAATATAATTAAATATATAAGTAATTATATTTTTATTTTGAAAATATGTAAAGTTAAATCTATAATATTATTTAAGTAGTAAATTTGCTTAGTTGTCATGTTCTCCATAAGTTTAGATAATTTTGTTTATTTATCATATTTATATTATTATATATAATTTATTTATAAATAAAACGAATTTATATGAATATATCATATTTTAGAAAATAAGATAATTCTTGTGAATTATGTTATTATCTAGAAATATATTTTGAGAATTATCTTATTATCTAGAAATATGATTTTATATATAAAACTTAAAAAGATAATTCTTATGTATTATTTTTTTTATGTTGAAAATATAGTTTCCTATTATAAAACATAAAATTAAGATATAAAAATTATATTATTAATAATTAAATTTATATTTTAGAAAATAAGTTAATTCTTATGTATTATGTTGTTATCTTGAAAATATATTTTCTATTATAAAATTTAAAATTAACATGTAAAAAATATATACTATTATCTAAGAAGTGAATTTGATGTTTGCTGATTTTTCATATTTTTCATGATTTTAAGTAATTTTGATAATTTATCATAACTTCTATAATTTTATATATAGTTTATTATATATTTAAAACAAATTTATATTAATAGTATCAGATTCTTAGAGGATAAGATATTTCTTATGTATTAAGTTGTTTTCTTGAAAATATATTTTTTATTATAAATTTAAAATTAAGATATAAAAAGTTGTAGTTATTCTATAACTGAAATAATTTTACACTAATAATATTATACTTTTAGAAAATAAAGAAAAATTATTTAAGATGTGAATTTTCTGATTCATTATGTTCTCCATGATTTTAAGTAATTTTAATTATATTTTTGTATCATATTATAATTTTAGAAAATAAATAACTTATGCATTATATTGTTATCTTGAAAATATTTTTTTCTATTATAAAATTTAAAATTAAGATATAAAAACTAAAATTAAATATAAACTAATAGAATAATTTGTATAAATATTATAATTAAATATAAATTAAGCAAAATAATTATAGAAATATATTCTTTTAAATATTTCTGATGTTTGAGTTTTGTCATTAATAATTATTTGATGTTGGATTTGTACTTTTTGAAAACAAAATAATAATTTATAATGTTGGGTTTTAAATTAATGAAACATCAACTAATAAATATTTAAGAAGTGAATTTGCTAATTCATTAAGTTCTCAATGATTTTAGGTAATTTTAGTTATATGTCAAAATTTTGATAATCTTATATAATTAAATTTTTTTATCATATTATATTTTTTAAAAGTATATAACTTATGCATTAATATTGTTATCTTGAAAATATGTTTTTCTATTATAAAATTTAAAATTAAGATATAAAAATACAGTTAAATATAAATTAAGTAAAAATGTTGTATAAATATTATAATTAAATATAAATTAAGAAAAATAATTATAGAAATATATTCTTTTAAATATTTCTGATGTTTTAGTTTTGTCATTAATAATTATTTGACGTTTGATTTGTACTTTTTGAAAACATAAATAATAACTTATTATGCTGGTTTTTAAATTAATGAAACATCAACTAATAAATATTTATAAGAGAATTATGCCGCAAGTGCGGGCAAAACACCTAGTAATATATTAATCTCTGTGTTAAAAATTAAAATGAATACAACAAGATGAATCTTTGGCCTTTAGCGCAGTGATCAGGAGCGCCACTGATAAAGAAGTAAGCTCCTGAATTATCTAGCTCGAACTTTGTGTCTCCATCATTGTATTGCTTCAAGGGCTTTGATGTGTTACAACTATCATAATTCTCTTTTGTCACTTGTAACACCGAATCAACTTTGGCGTCGTACTTCTACACTAATAATCCACATGCATATTAGTCAAAAATAAAGTAAAATAATACACATGCATGCATGAACACATCATTTATAAAACCATATAGTATTATATCAAATCAATAATATTTACTGCATGATGAAATCCTGCTTCCCGAATATGAAGGAAAAAAACATTAGTAAACCAAACTTGTGCAGTGGATATTTATGGATAAATACATCATTATAAAACTATACTAGATCACGACCCGCGCGGATGCGCATGTTTTATTTTTTATTTAACAAATTATATACATATTCTATGTTGTTTAGCTTTATATACTTTTGAATTTTTCTGTACTTATTTTATGTGACTAAAAAATATTATTAAAATTATATTTTGTATTAAAGTATATATGAATTTAAAAAGTTTAAAAAATAATTTACACTGATTATCCGAATTCAAACCTGCAAAGATCCGAAATGAAGTCGAACCGAACTTATAAATATGTAAATGAAGATGAAAATTTTAACCTTAAAAACTCGAAACTTAAGTAGATTCGAACCGAACCCGAATGGCTCCTGAATGCCACCCATGGTTTAGAGTTTGTCGTACAATGAATATGAACAATGAAAGTGTAAAGTTGGTCAATTTCATATTATTGAATTTAATAGTATTGATATTGTTAATATCGATAGAAGTATTAATATATGTATAGACTAACAAATTGTCTGCACACGACTGACATAAGTGAACAATATATAATATAGTTGGTTTGATAACAAAAATAGAACATATTTATAGATTAATATATTGGTTGAATGATATAATGGATACATATTTGAAACTGGAAATATTAGATGAGATCTAAAAGAAAATGATTTTGGTTGTTAATAAAATATTATTTGAAGAAATATTTTATTAAATGTTAAGTTAAAAATTAAGATAGATAAATAATAGGAGGTCCAACTTTAAAATTCACCTAAGTTGTAATGTTTGTGTTTTAATAATATAAATGATGATTGTGGATACATAATTGTAGTATGTAATTTTGTTGATGATGAACTTGAATATGAATGTATAATGTATAAATGGTTGGCAAGTATGTAGTATTAGTTATAATGGTCCTACTTTAGATGAATGTAAAATCGTAGTATGTAGGTTTCAAATACACATGATATAGTTGAAAATATACTATATCCGTCCGATGTTAATTATANGGATACATAATTGTAGTATGTAATTTTGTTGATGATGAACTTGAATATGAATGTATAATGTATAAATGGTTGGCAAGTATGTAGTATTAGTTATAATGGTCCTACTTTAGATGAATGTAAAATCGTAGTATGTAGGTTTCAAATACACATGATATAGTTGAAAATATACTATATCCGTCCGATGTTAATTATAAAGGCCTATAGAGAAGTTAATGGTAATATGCGATTTTTAAGGAGCATTATAACAGTTTATATTGTTACGCAGAATTTTTATATTTGTTAGAATTATTAGTAAATGGTCCTACTTAGACTAGCTAATGGTAGATAAAAATAGTGTCTCTATTTTAATATAGTAGATACTATGTCAAATATGTGATATAACTGCATGAAATCATGTTTCCTGAATATAAAGGATTACGTAGCCATGTGTGCCCCCCCCCCCTGCAGCAGGCTGCAGAGCTGATGGCGACAGGAAACATGAATTAAGGTTGGTAGCTTAAGTCTCCCCTCCCTCATAAAACCTCTTGATATTTTTCCTTTTTAAGCGTATGTTTAAAAGGAATCTGCAACAGAATATCATCCTCATCTTCCTCCTCCTCCCAATGGATTTTTTTTACCGAACATGGGATTCCCACCGGTCTATGCATGTGATGCAGCAACCAATTTAAGCCGCTCTGAACCACCGATCCAATACGCAACATGGATAATATAGTGAATAAGGCAATATTATGATTGAAAATAATGTTAAGATGGATTTTTGGCTCACTGATTGTATGTTTTCTAGTACTATTTAAAGATAAATATATATTTGGAAAAAATATGTAAAAAATTAGCAAAATGCAATAAAACGAACGAAATGATAACAATAAAAATAAGAAGAGGCCGACGAAGATGCATAATATGTGTTGGAGATGTTAATGTGATAATTACGAAAATAAATAACCCCACAAGTATTTGTTATTACTAAATATTCATCAGTTATTTTACATCAAATTTTTGCAAACTTTACGACAGATTGTCAAACTATTCGAAGTGGAAGTTAAAAATTATATTTTTAATGTTTCTAACAATATTTATATCTGCGAATTCACGGGCAACCAACTAGTTAAATATAATTGTCAAGTCATATTTATACATAAGTTATGTCAACAATTCTAACATGCAATGTCATATTTTAGTGAAAGTAATTAAAAAGATGAAATGTATCAAATCACTTCTCAAATAATTTCTAAAAAATGACTAATTTATGAGGTAATTGTTGACTTACGAACATAAACGGTAGACTTATATATGGGCAGACTGATTTCGGCACACTGATTTCTCGAAAATTTAGATGGTTTGTAGATAAAACATAGTTGAATTATTAAATTTACGGCAGACAGAACAACATCGTCTGTTTACTTTGTCATAGAACAAACTCCTTTGTGACGTTACTGCCAACTCTTCCTTTAAATTTGCTATGTGGTGACATTTTGAAGCTGTAAGACTTTTCCTTCGCATTTTACTTTTGTAAACTATCAAAAGAAAGATTCTTGTTTAGGCTCTTGTTTCCCCGACCATGTAACGAATCGGTTAACTTCCAAGTTCAAGTCTAACTGTGATCCGATAAAGATGAAAAATGAGAGAAGAGGAGAGTGATTGTGAAATAGATAAACATTGTTGGATTACTGAGTGTAGCCGCTGAAGCTTAAAGCTTTATATATATTACACATGTGGGTTGTGTCAAATACTACACAAACAGAGAACTTGAAAACGGTAGTAGAAGAAGTTTTTTTTAAGATGCATTTAGTTTTCTTCTTCATTTCTTGGCCAACAATTTCTTTTGGAGCATATCGAGTGGTGTAGATTTAAGCAAGAACAGCCTCGCAGCCCTCTCTTGCAATCTCCCTCCGCATTTCAGTCCACGAGACTGAAGTTCAGTCTTTAATCTCTCCATCACCATTACCTGAAACCCAAAAAAAACACAGAGATAGATAAGGATAAAGGTTATGTAGTGATTTTGATGCAACACATGACGACTATTAGACTTTCTGACATAATATTTTAAGTTCATGACTGTGGAATCGGATTGGGAGACGGTGGATCCGTCGGAGATCTGGTAGCCTCCGTGGATTAGACGCTGTAGATGAGTTGGGATCTGAGTGTGATTGAAGATCCGCTGCTTGATTTGGTCGCCATAGGCTGACGGAGAGGGGAACGTTAGGGTTACGGATTTTCCGTTGAGGAGCTTCACGAAGAACTGTAACGGCTTAGGGCTTTGATCCGCCATGGATAGCGATTATCGGAGCTTCGAAGAAGAAGAAATCGATTTGGGAGAAATTATAGAAACGAATCCCTAAGTCTCTCTTTATATTTGTTGGGCTACAAGTTTTAAATGGGCTTTGTATGTTGGCAGTAGAGCGGGGCATTTGGATACCCTTCAGGTATGGATATGGATATGGATATGGATCGGGTATTGGTATTACAAAAAAAAATCGATTCGAGTCCGATCCTCCCAGAATGGGTACGAATTTTATCCGAAATAACCAAACTCGATTCCATTCAGATATTTTATATCCAAACTACCAAACCTATTTAAAATAACTTAAAATTTAAAAATACTCAATTTATATAGTTTGGATTGGGTACTTTTTGTTTGAAAATAACTGTTGAGCCCAAATATGGCCCGCTAGCTGAGACTAATGGGCTAGAACGATAAGAGTTGACTATGGGCCACTGTAAGCCCATTGGCAATTAATCTTTTGAGAAAAGAGTCAAAAAGAAGCCGGAGGCTGTTTTTGCTAAGGAAGGAACGTCAACAAAACAGGTCACGGAGGAGAGCTCCGGACCTCATTTATAAACA